TGTTCCCCGACCCCCCCCAACTGGAAATGGAGGGCAAATCGGGGCCTTCGGGTTGGGTTGGGGTGCATTGGTGGGCGGTGAAGGAATGGGTGCAGCGCCCAGCACCAGCCGTGGCCCAAATCCGACAGCGGCCGCTGCTGGGCAAGCGACATGATGTCCTCTCGGATACAGCTGGGCCCAGGACAGAATAACACCCTTCAGGAGCATGAGACCCGAGAGCCTCCGCTGGCCACAACACCCCACACGATATGATCACTGGAGGGTACCCTCCCCCCTTGATGCACACGAGCATCCAACAAACACGAAGAACATTAGCAGAGAAACGAACAGCGACATAAACATGACAACTTGAAGTCCGTGCGGATTTCTCGGATCGGCGATGGCGCCCCCTGGCGGCGCCTCCGGCGCCGCCCCTGGCGCGCTCCGAGCGCGAGGGAGGGAGGTCGAGCGCCGATCCACGAAATCTGCGAGAACCTCCGAGCTTTTATGCTTATGTCATTGCTCGCCCCCCTAATAGAAGCATCCTCGCAGAACCACCCTCGATCTTGTACCTCGGCAGGAGAGCCCAGTATCGAATCGACAAATCGGGTCGGCGATCGAAATGGATCGGATCGGCGGAAATCGGCAGCCGAGTCGGGCAAAGTCGAATCGGCGGAAATCGGCAGGCTATTATGCCTCCAGTAAGGAATCGAAATCCGAAGCCGAATCGAATCGGAATCGGAAGCCATCGAAATCGAATCGAATCGAATCGGAAGCATCGAAACGAGCCCTGTCCTGCACCTCGGTCCGACCGTGTGGACACCGTGCGCGGCGACACCGGCAGGGACTCCTGCTCCGAACTGGGCAGGGCCTGCTGCGGGCCTCTGCCGCCCCCCCCCCCCCTCTCTCTCCGTAGGTCCGCCTCGCTCGTGCCGACTGCCTCCCGAGGCCTCCCACGAGGGGCAACGGCGGGGGGGGGAGGCTGGCAATGCGGGGGGGGATGCGTCGACCTGGAACCGGCGATACATCGTCGATGGGTCGGCGATGGGCCCCCGATTCGGGCCCCTGTCGGCGATCAATGAGCGATTTGGGGTCGATGCATCCCACCCTATGCCTGTCCGCCCCCGGTCGTCCCTCTTGATCCAAGCTCCGTAAGTTTTGTTCTTCAGGGGGCTGTGCGCCAGGTACGCCCTCTTATAGCCCTCGCAGCCGCTGAACATGATGTGCACCTCCCGGTTCGTGGCGTTCTGGCTGATGCCGACTACGGATATGCAGCACTCCTTCCGCGCCGGGGGTTCCTGAAAGGCAAAGCGCTGCTCCACAGCCATCGAAGACCAGCGGATCGGGCCACCGCGGCCCGTAAGCCTCACTGCAACAACAAGCGGCTGGCGGACGAGGAAAATGCGCGACGCCGCTCCGGATAGCTGAGCCAAATCGCCACGGCGGGGGAGCAGAGCCTGAGACCGCCTCCCCGATGCCATGGGCTGCCCTGGAGCTGCCGCCCTGAGACAATGGCCCACCGCCCAGATGAAGGTCCGCGAAGATTTCTTGGTGAGCGTTTTCTTATTCGGCGGTTCGACATTGGGCGGAAGGGGGGGGGAAAGGGAAAGTCTGGCTCTGGACCTCTGCTAAATGCGACTGTTCGGAACCGTGCGTCCTGTGGGGAAGACTGCACCTGCTTGAGACAGGCGCCCAAAACAGCCTAGATCTACTCCACGGCGGAGGGGGAAAGGGGGTGCGAGGGCCCGCGCCGATCAGCAAAACAACGAATCAGAAAACAATCACTTGGGTCTGCGCTGGACCCCCTCACGCCAGGGGTGGCCCGGCTCCGATGCAAGAGATCCACTCGGAACTCTGGAGGTGTCTGTTCATGCCGTGTGTTCTCGGCTGGGGCAGTTTCATGCTGGCTCCACGAGGGACCTTTTGCTTCTCGTCGCAACAGCAACATCCACATGGTTCGATGCAGGTCCTGTTAGCTCGCGCCTTTGTCGTTCGCATCACGAGCCGAATGACAAAAGATCGCGAAGAAGATCCGCAACCCCCATCGAGAGGCACGAAGGCCGATGCGGCATTGTACATCGCTGCGCCGCCCAATTCGAAGCAGCAGGCCCCACGAGGGACCATCGGCGTGCGAACACGGGGCCGGCCACGTTCCTGCTGGAAACGCCCCGATCTCTCCGCAGCAGTTGCCAGACTCCTCCTGGAGGCTCTCCAACGCAGGAGGAGCAACAACCCCTGAGGAACACCCCGGGTTGCGAAATAAACGCCCGTCTCAAATCTAGATAACAATGCGTCAACGCGCGCCCCCCCTCGCCCCATATTTCAAAGTTGACGGGCAAGCAACAGCCCGCACAAAAGTGGGCGTCTATTTTGCAACACTTCGCCCTCTTTCCGGCGCGGTCGTCGGCCAACATTGCGATACGGGGTCCGGAGTGGGTCTTCCCGGCACTTTCACTGGCGGGCATTTATTTCGCAAACGGCGGTGCCACTTGGTAGTCAAGTGTGTAATCTGCACTGGCCCATACCGTCACGCCATCGCTCTGGAAAGTATCGCCGAGTGCAAGATCACGGAATCAGCGTTTAACACCGAATGCCTTTACCAGGTCGTCCTCGTGCAAACGAATATTCAATATCACAGGCGTTGGCGCACCAGCACGATCGCGAGCGCATTCGCGATTCCACGACATAATCATAAAGACAACCCATTTTCAGACGTCTCACGCATCGATGGTTTCCAATGCTGCTTCGGGCGCCCATGTCGACACACATATGTAAATACCTCTTGGGATGGCGACCACCGATCGCATCTAGGGCACTCAGCTCGAACGGGCGCCGCCTATGCCACGTTTGGGTCAAGGTCATCAATACGCGTATTCGCTCCAGCTGGGACGCAACTGCGGCATACCAGATCACAGCAGCGTGCCAGCATCAATACCATGATTTTTGGCACGAACACCATCAACACCCTTATCGTCACCGCCACCGGCGTAATTAACCGATTACACGTATCACCACCGATGCCAATTCGGTTGGCGGGTGCCCAATCGAAGCGTTAGCGCCGTCATGTATGGGGGGCCTCGGAACTCCCCAATCTCCATTGGAGGGTCTCCTGGCTTCCAGCCTCGCCCGCGGCCAAACTCCCCTGACTTCCCCGATGCTCGTCGCCACCTGCCGCGGGCGGTCGTGAGCGCAGCGTGCGACGCAGCCCGAAGCGACCGTGGTTTGCCGGCGCCACGGGCGGGGCGCGCCGTGCGGGCACACTCCTCCCTGCAAGCGCGAAAGCAGCCCGGTTGCACGCTGGGGGAGGGCGACGGGGAGGAGGAGAAGGAGGAGGAGGAGGAGGAGGAGGAGGAGGAGGAGGAGGAGGAGGAGGAGGAGGAGGAGGAGGGTGGGGGGCTGGGCGGGAAGCGCGTCCAGTCGGAGCGACCGCCCCACCAGCCCGCTGGGCGCGGCGCGGCGGCGAGCCCGCGGGGGGACATCGGAGAGGGCGGGCCTTCCCAGAAAGCTCGGACGGCCTGTGGCGTCTTGCAGTGTTCCCAACGCCCCCCGAAGGCGCGCGAAACTTCCGGGAGGGCAGATCAGGATCCACGGTGCAGTTCGCCATCCAGACGGTCAACGGTTTGGTGAAATACTCCGGAAATGCAAGGGGATGGAACAGTTTTTGACACACACACACACATGCATGCACAGTTACATACATTGCCATATCTGTGTATGTATTCGCATCTATACACACAGACGCGTTACACATTGAAGCTGTTGTTCTCCCTGCGTGCCACACACGCAGACAGCGATTCTGGTTGATTGGTTCCCGATCCGAACTTTACCGCACCTCTTGAATCCAACTTTACCGCCGATCCGAACTTTACCGCACCTCTTGAATCCAACTTTACCGCTGAATCCCTTACCTCGTTCCCGATCCGAACTTTCCCGATCCGATCCGAACTTTACCGCCCCGTTGATGCGGTCTTGTTCGACCAAGCGCTCCCCGACCCCTCCCGCCCAGCGCTCACCCGCACGCGCGCGCGCGCCTCCGAGGCGGAGCAGGAGGAGCCGCCGCCGCGGGAGCGGACGCCGCGCGACAGGGCGAGGAGGGGCGCGGAGGAGGCAGCGCGGCGGCGGAGGAGGCGGGCGCCAAAGAAGCGGACAAAAACGACAAGAGGCAAAAGCAGAGGACAGTCAAGGAGAGCACCAGGAGCAACCATAACATTACAACAACAGACAGCAGCTCGGGCCAGCTGCTCACCTCGCACACCGCGCGGAAGCAAAGCGCCCAAGACAGAGGCCATGGCCCGCTCATCTCTACCGCGCCACGGCTCGGCGACCAGCGGGGCGAAGGCGAGCGGCGCGAGGCACGGCGCCGCCGCCACGTCGGCCAGGTCGCAAGAAGCGCCCCTCCCCCCGTCGCGCACAGTGGCGACGCGCGGGGACCCCAGCCAGGACCAGCACCTCCAGCGACGCCAGCGGCCGCGATCCTGGAGATAGAGCAAGGCGGACGTGCAAGTTCGATGTTGACATCCATCTCTGGCGTTGCCCTTCCGAAGAAGCCGCGCGCGGGCGGGGGTTTTTCGTCGCTCAAGCTTCGTCTGGCATCGTCGCCCTCTCTCTGTTGTGCTTCCTCCTGGCTCCCTCCCCCGCTCGCCAGAGGCCGCTCCTTGCCCCCCACTCCTCACCCCGTCTCCCCCGGCCCCTCCCGCTCGCCCGCCTTGCCTTCCTCCTTCACCCTCGATGCATTCGACTCTGCCGTTCGCTGCCGACAAGGAACCGCCCCCGCCCGCCCGCTCCACCGACCCGCTGCGCGCCGCACCAGCCGATCGACTGCGGCGCTGCACGCGGGCGTTTGCGCCCCCAGTCCTCCGGCGGCCCTAAGAGGAAAAGAAAAACCACCAAGTCGCGTTCTTCGGCGACGGGCAAAGCTACAGAGCCGGACCGGAATCGCATCGGAGTCAAATCGGGTCGACTCTGGGCCCGATCGGGATCGATCGACTAGGAGGTCGCGAAGAAGTCAAGCCCGCGGCATCCTACGAATCCCTCCGCAACGACGGCAGCGCCGCGAGCAGGGAGAACCCGCTCTCCAGAAAGCCCACGGAGATTTGCGACGAAGCTGGCGCCATATCCCCCTCGTGCGCCTCCGCGATCCACGGGAGGACCTTCTTCTCCGGCGGCAGGAGCGCTGCTGCGGCCCACGAGCAGCCGCGGTCTCGTCGCGCGCCCCGCTGCACGGCATGCGGGGCCGACCGGTGGCTTGCCAGGCCCCCCTTGGGGCCTGGCTGCGCCCGGCCCGGGCCCGCCGAAGCCTCGGCCACAAGCCCGAAGACGTCGGCCGCGTTGATCTCGGAGGATGCCTCCGCGGACTGCTGCGCGGACGGCCCGCGCACCTGCCGCGCGCGCGCGAGTGGCCGACGCGAAGACCGCCCGAGGCAGGCGCGCGCGGCAGCGCCCGGGAAGCGCACGATCGACAGAGCTTCCGAGCCCACATCGGCCAGGCACCCGACGACGCGAGCCGCGGCCGCCTCGCTGGAACCTCCCATGGTGCAGGGCATACGAGCAACGACGGGGCCACGTACCCCATCGAAGTCAGCAGCTGCGCCACCTCGCGCTGGCCAAGCGCCCCCGCCGCCCTCTCGTCGCTCGCCGCCTCGATGACCTCGAAGACCGCGGGCTCAGGCAGAGCCTCCGCTGCGTAGCTCGCCGCGGTGGGCGCCGCCGCGGCGCGGTCGATCCCGTCGCTCTTCGGCTCCAGTTGCGCCGAACGCACGCTGGCCAGGAGGACGTTGACTCTCGCGGCCCTTGGGCAAGAGCTCTCCTCGTGAAGCGTGCTCGCGGCCAGGCTCTTCTCCGTCAATGCGCAAGGGGCGTGGCGCACGCAGCGCTACGCGGTCTGCGCTGAGCCTCCAGCGGCTCGAAGATGCCTGCGCCATTAACTTCGGGCCTCTCGCTCTGCAAGACGATGGCGAAGATCCGTCTATGCTTGTCCTTCGCGTCCTCCGGGTTGCCCGCCGCGCAGACGAACGCCGCGTCCAGCTCGAAGCCCGCCGAGCCATTCTTTGCCAGCCCGCTAGCCGCCGCGTCAAGCGCGGGAGCGCTGAACGCAAATCCCGGGCCAACCCCGTCGGACAGGGGCGGCGAGTGCGTCCAGTGGCTCACCGCAGACGCCGCAGCCTCTTTGGAACGCAGCTTCAAGGCTCGCTGCGTGCCACGCCCATCGCTGTCCCAGCCGCGACAGCTGCGGCTTCCACGGCGCCCGTGGGCGGCCACTCTGGCGCCAATCCAGGAAGCAATTCGGCGTCTGTCGCGCTCGGCAGCGACCTCGCGCTCTCCTCGTCCTCGTCGGGGTCGGCCCCCTATTCAGGATCTACGTGGGCCTTCTGCTCCTTTCTGGCGCGTTCGTCCTCCTCGTCCTCGTCCAGCTCGGCTTCCTCGCCCAGCAAGACGCCCTGCCCCTCCTCCTCCCCCTCCTCCTCCTCCTCCTCCTCCTCCTCCTTCTCCTCCTCCCCCCCTCCCTCCTCCTCCTCCTCCTCTCCTCCTCCGCCTCCTCTTCCTCCTCCTCCTCCTCTCCTCCTCCTCCTCCTCCTCCTCCTCCTGCTCCTGCTCCTGCTCCTCCTCCTCCTCCTCCTCCTCCTCCTCCTCCTCCTCCTCCTCCTCCTCCTCCTCCTCCTCCTCCTCCTCCTCCTGCGCGCGCAGTAGGCGCTCATGAGATCCCCACGAGCCCCGACGGAGCAAGGCCTCCGCAGACAAAAACCTCGGGAGAGCACCCATCAGGACGACCTTTTTGTCACCCTCGACTGGGGGCGCCAGTCGAGGGGCCAGCGACAGGGTGCTCTCCTCGAGGGGGAGGGCGGCTAGGGTCTGGGCCCTGACCGCTTCTCTCCAGACTGGCAGGGTTCCAAGCCTCGGTGAGGAGGATCCACTCCTTACCTTGCTTGTACTTGCCCTGCTCAAGGCCTCGCAAGACGCGGTTGCCCCAGACAGTGGGCACTGGCGGGCATGGGTCACGAAACTGCTTGGACACGGTGACTCCGCCAGCACCGCAGAGAACGCACACCACCCCCCGCCTCCCCCCCGCGAGAGTAAAGGGAAAGGCTCGATGGGTAGCGTGACCCTCTCTCCTCAGGACCGCAATCGCAACATCGGCACGACTTTCAACCGACGAGACCACGGGAGGAGGAGGAATTACATGCAACCTGGGCACATCGGTCCTGAGAGCCCTGGCACGCTTGGACACGGGAACATGCAAACAGTCCAGGTCGGCCATGGGAGGCCCACACACGCCAACCCACTGGGTCAGGGCTTGCACAACCTTAAACTGACTTTTGAACAGGTCGCGATACTGCTGAGCGACTCTGCCATGCTCTGCGGCCTGCTTGGCATACTGGTCTGCCAGCTCGTTACCTAACTGAGCCCTGGCGGAGAGACGACCCGAGGTGACGTCGGCGCGAGAGGCCTGCGCCTTAACCTTGTTAAGGCGCAGTGCGTCGAGACCACCTCTGTCTTCTACGGCATGCCAGACAAGCTTCCAGATGTCGGCCCACGCAGCTTTGGACGAACAACAAAACTGCCGCCCTCGATTCCAGACTCCTTGGGAAACAAAATTGGAGTCTGTCCAGAAGACGGCACCAGGAAGGGCCTGCCTAAGGCCCATGAAAAACGCCCAAAGCTCGCACGCATCAATGTCAAAATGCCCAGCTGGTATACCCCCAGCCACCACCGCGCGCTTCGCTCGAGAGGCGGGGAGGCTCGGATCGTCGTGCAAAGAAACGATGGCCCAGCCTAACGATCGCGCGGTGGGCGGGAGCTCGGAGTCAAAGAGACTGCCGTCGAGAAAACAATCCCCTCCTAGCTGATCCGGCGCCCCGAAGAGCCAGAGTTCCTCGGGGGGGTTGGGTCGGGGCGGAGGAGGAGCAGGCAGCGGCACAAGCAGCCTCTCGAGGAGAAGGCGAACGAGAGGGTTACCTGCTGCTGCTACCATGGCCTGCGTGCGCGCTGGGGGCTCCCGCTCAAGCTCGAGCAAGTCTTGATGGCCAGCGCATCCAGCGTGCCTGTGCAAGAGGGTCCCTGGGGCTGAAGCGCAGACCTGACACTCTTGCTGAGACGACAGACCAAGCTGATATTGTCTATCTTGCGGCCACTGGCCGCCAGACACTAAACTGACTACATAGGCTTTCTCGTGCGCCTTGAGCTTGGACATACCTGCTTTGATGGGAGCTAAAAAGGGCCCTTGCACAAACTCGGGCATCTGAAGGTGATCGGCCACCTTGCTCCAAAGCCAACTCTCGACGACGGTCTCGAGGGCAGTCTTGACCGTGCGGGGACACAACGTTTCAACCGAGAACACGCCCACGCTAGGGTGCTGCCACTCGAGCCCGTTCATCTGGATGCCGAGCCGCATGGCCGTGGCGACGGCGGCGGAAAAGGGGCCTCTGATGGCCTGCCAAGGAGAGCCGTGCTCTTGAAGTCTCTGCCTCGCGCCTTCGAGGCCTTGCTTCACCACCCCACTAGGAACCCAACCGTCCCAGAGCGAGGTAGCGATAGAGAGGAGAGGAGAGACGTTGAGGTGGCACGCAGGATCAATGCGAGGAATGCCAGAAAGCTGCAGCATGAGGGTGATCGATCGTCCTGACACCCTCTGCGACTGCACGGTGGCCTGATGAAGACGAGCCTGCGCGAGCTCACGTCCGTTGCTGCCCATCACCCCCGACCCGTAAGAGGTGGAGGCCTGAACGGCAGCACGGACCATGTGATGTACCCGCCGTTTACACAGCTTGCTAGACAGATAGAGGATCTTTTTGTGACGCACCTTGGCAGCAGTGAAACGCCCTGACTTGGTGTGTCTCTTGATCGCGCCTCCTGCAGCATAATCGATGCCAAGATTGCGCTCATTCTGTACACCAAGCACACAATTGGCTTTGAGCGCAAGGGCTAAGCGTGAGCGGAGCTGAGGACAGGAGGCAAGCACACGTGACTTATGCTTGCTGACTGGCAGATGCACGGCGCACAACTCTTGATGAAGCAAACGTGTGGCTTGCACCAATGTGTCTCGCACCTGCTCGAATGATCCGACCTTGTGCAGACCCGAGTCATCCACAACCGCTCCGATCTGAACCTCCCGAGCCGTGCGGAGAGGGAACGCTGCTTGCACTGTATCAAGCGGTGCGAGCAGCACTAGCTGCAGCATGAGGGTGGCAAAGTGGCAGCCTGGGAGCGCCGCTTTTTCCGTGCAGATGGGGGCCGAGGTAGCCCCAGCATGGTCCAGGACCCGCGGAGCCCGATACAGGCTCACCAACAAACGCAGCTGACGCAGGGGAGATCCTGTGGTCTGAGCCGCCTTGAGCAGCTCTCCGTGCCGAACGTTTTCAAAAGCTTTGTGAAGGTCTAACAGGACCGTGCCAGCGAAAAGATTGCGCCCCTGGGCCCACTCGGCGAAGGCAGCTTGAACCCACACAAGCCGATCCGACCCCCTCCCCCGAGTCGACCACCAGAACTCCCGAAAGTTCTGCTGCTGCCAACGCCGAATGAGGGGTCGGCGGAGTCGTCCTTGGACCCTGGACGTGACGTGCATTAAAGCTATGGGTCTCAGTCCACCTGTACGTTTCAAAATGAAGACAATTTTAGACCACAACTGAGGCCACTCGAAACTGCTCTCTATGGTGAATATCAGCTGGCGAAAACACTCAAGACCCTCGTCTGGCAACTCGAGCAACTGACGGGGCGAGACCTGGTCGTAACCTGCGCCGCTGCTGGCTCGAAAACTTCGGAGACATGCTTTGAGATCCTCCAGATCGAACTCGGGCAGCTCAGGGCCCATGTCTGTCGGCCACAAAAGCGGGTCGGCCAGGGATCCCACCTCCCAATGCGCCCCCCACTCGGAAACCAAGAGCGCCATCTCCTCTTCCTGACTGGCTGGGGCTGGCGGCAGCGAGCCGTCATGTCTAAAACTGGGGCTGCTGTGCCATGGGGTGGGAGGCTTGGAGAGATTGAAAAGGGCTCCTCCGCCTGCGTTGCTGTGAGATTTGACCCAGCTCTTCCAACTGGCGTCCCTGTGCCGCTCAGCCGCGCGCTGATGCTTGGATGAAAGCTGTCTGGCGCGGTGGGCGAGCTCCGCCGAAAGCTCCCAGGAAAGCGAGGGGGCGGTCCAGAGCAGAACAGCCCAAGGCTGTGCACTGGCATCGGTGAACCTGCACCCTTGCTCGGCAAGCTTCTCACACAACGACAACGTGGCACGACGATGCGACGGGGACTGAAACTTGCCGAGCTCGGTGAAGACTTGTGTCACTAGCCTCCACCACGTGGCGAAAGGCGAGAGACGCGGATAGGGCATGGCTGACGGCTTGCGCGCAGCGGCCCGCTTGCGCTGCAAAGGTTTGGCCCTACCTTGGTACAGATGCGCCTCGTCGCTGCTGATCTGGTAAACGTCAACGAACTCGAGCTCCATGGTGTGCACGAAACTCTCCCACAACTGCTGAGTGCTCGCCTGTGCAAGCGCCTGCTCCATAACTGGCTGCCAGCGGTTGCTTTCTCGCATGGGTCCGTGAGGCCGTTGGCGAGGGAACATTCGAGGCACGCGAATACGCGGCAGCGTGGGGACTTGCCGCAGTCCCTCGAGAGACAGAAGAACTGGGTAATGCGGCGTGGTGCCAACCTCGGTGAGCACGGCGAGCTTGTGACGATACTGCAGACCCTCTGAGACGATGAAGTAGTCCAGCACCCTGCCTTTTCCACCCGTACACGTGGCTAGCTGAGGGGAGAGAATGTGTCCAGAGACAGCCTCGATCCACCCTGAGCCGACCAGCTCGTCAGGGATCAAGTTCCAGTCTCCCGAAAGAATAAACGGCATGCCAAACTGCCTGATGACCGCTCCCAGCTTGCACAAAATATCCCAATTGAGTGCCGATAAACCCTGCGAGTCATGCATGTACACCACTGCCCATAGGATGCCACCAGGTACAACTCCTGACATGTGCCTGAGTGCGATGCGCGCTGGCTCAAGAACTGGAGCTTGGCCAACTAGCAGCGAAAGTCCGTGCCGCTGCTGAACCACCTGAAGGAGACCACCTGTAGTGCCTCCCTGCCCTGTTGCTCTGGCTGCGGTAGCCGAAGCTTTCCAGCCCATGTGTCGGAGCCTTTGCTCCCAGCCTGCGTACTCAATGAGGTGATGCTCCTGCGCACCAACAGCATCCGCGTCGATGACTGACTGTGAATTGAGAATGGTCTCTAGCCCTGCTCGGCCTGAGACATTGGCGGTGGCGAAGACCCACGTGTTAGGAAGACGAGTCAACCTCCGACGTCTTGGCCTTCTTGACCGCGTGCTCCTGCATGGCCTGCAGAAGACTGGTGTAGAGGGCGCGGCCGACCTTGACCTTCTTGAGCTCCCCGTCGGCACCGTCGTCGTTGTCGGCTCCCTCGTCGCCCATGGCGTCGTCGTCGCCACTGACTGGGATGCCCTGGGCCTTGAGGAAGCTGTCGAAGAACTCAGGCTTGCCGAAGTGCTCCCAGAAAGCGGCATCTGGCACGCCATGCACACCAGCACCCGCAGGAGGAGACTGCTCCTGTTGCTGCTGCTGCTGCTGCTGCTGACGTGCGGCCGCGGCCTCCTCATCGGCGCGCTGCTTGTCCATCTGCTGTTTGACAAGATCGGCGATGGGCTTGAGCGCGGCGGCAGCGTCAGGCAGCATGTCTGACAGGGCGGCGGCGAGGGACTGCAGCTGCGCGAGCGGGTCAGCAGCAGCGGCCGCGCGGCCTCCGACGGCTGCGTAGGCGGCGGCGGCTTTGCTGGCGGCCTCGTCTGCTTTGGCCTTACACTCAGCCAAGCTGGTGGCGCACTGCTGCATATGTTGCATGGCTTTGGCCGCCGCAGCCGCTGCCTTGTCATACTTGCTCTGGGCCTGCTCGAGCTTCTGCTGAATGGCATCGGACGCCTGCCGAGCGGCCCGCGCCGTGGGCAGCACCTCGCCATTGGAAAGACTGCGAGCCGCGGCAACTCGAGCCAATTGCTTTGCAGACCACCCCTGCGACACGATGGCATAGTCTGCAAAATCCATCTTGGCGTACACCGCAACGAGCTCCTCAGACAAAACAGGAACCCGAGGAGCAGCCCTGGGAGGTCCGTCCTTCCACTTGCCTGTGGGCGCCCGCTGTGCTGCGACTCTCGGCTTGTGGGGCTCGGTACCGCAGATGCGACAGCTGCTCCGCCACTGGAAATTGCCTTTGTAGCCGCACCGTGCATTGGTGCACGTCCAGTTGTGAGCACCTTTGCCATCCATGTCGTGCTGAGAAACGCGACAGGAAGGAGAGAACTTGCTCCGACAGGAGCTCACAGAACGCAAAAACCTCGCCTGACCAGGCAAACGAGGGGCACTGTGGGGGCCGCTGCTCCCCCTTGCCAGTGAGGTCAGGTCCTGAGCCAAAAACGGCTACGGACTTGAGCCAAAATGGCTACGGACCCCTCCTCCTCCTCCTCCTCCTCCTCCTCCTCCTCCTCCTCCTCCTCCTCCTCCTCCTCCTCCTCCTCCTCCTCCTCCTCCTCCCTCCTCCTCCCCCCCCCCCCCTCCTCCTCCTCCTCCTCCTCCTCCTCCTCCTCCTCCTCCTCCTCCTCCTCCTCGCCCAGGTCGGCGTCCTGCTCCAGACGCGCCCGCGAGTCGCGCCTTGCAGCGGCGAGGGGCGACCCGCCAAGCGACGCCGACAAGCCGCTCGCCGCCGCCGGCCCCTGCCAATCCAGGAGGGCGCGACGAGTCCTGCACGTCCTGCTGATGAGCGAGGTCCCAACGGTATTGGACTTCCGAATTATCCGGGGTAACTCGGGTCCGGGGTAACTCGGGTTTGGGTTCCCGAAAAACGAACCCGAGTTATCCCTGACCCGAGTTATCCCTGATAATTCGGGGCTCTGACGGTAGGCGCGCGCCAGCTCGTCCTCGGGCCAGCTCGATTCTCCTGTCTCGGCCAGCGCGACCCGGCTCTCCAGGCCGGCTGCGAGCTCCACCTCATGCTCCTTCCGCGCGCGAGCCCACGGAGGTTGGAGCGGATCTTGTTCGGGCACGCGGACGCGAAGACCACGTCCCGCATGCTCCGGAGCAACTCGCCCAGCTGCTTGGCACCGAGGCTCGACCCGCCTCCCTCGAGTTTTCCCAGATGCCCCGATCTCGAAAAAATGCATCGCGCCTGATCGCGCTCGAAATCACCAGACGAAGCTGGTGATTTCGATAGCGCGCTATCGAAGCGCTGGTGTTCCACTGGCGTGCTGCGATGGAAATATGAGCGCGCGCTGGAAATCTTGCGATCGAATGTTGAACAGCATCGGCATCGACATGCAATTTTCGAGCTCGGTGTCGCTATCGGAATTCGCACCCGTGGCGATCGAACTTCGCGCCCGCCGCTATGGCAATTCGCGGCCCCTTTTTGCCCACAGGGACTTCTCTCACCAATTGATTGTGTTATCAGCCGAATGGCTACCAGTTCAAAACGAGGAGCGCCCCGCAGCGACAGCCGAACACACGGGTTCCAACCCAGCGGCTTTAGCGGGCGTGGTTGACACATCCGTGCTTCGACAATGATCTTCGACAGGCGTGATCTCGGTTTTTGCTTTAGGTCGGGCATGTCCTCCTACAGGCGGATTTTGGAAGACACGTGAAAAATAGCCAAGAGATGCGCGAAAATAGTCTATTACTATTCTGGAGTACTCCTCCTGTAGAGGGGCATGCCCGACCGAATTGCTGCTTGAAACAACATCCCGTACCCACTGCGTGCTGGTGCAGCAGGTCGGATGCGACACCGACTGCGGGGAGGTCATGCCCCCCCGAAGGCCTTTCGAGAGGCTCTCAGGGGGCCCCAAGATGAATACGGTTAAAGAGGCTCCTGGGGCTTGTCGTGTTTTTGGTTTGGTGATCGTGTTCTTTTTCGGCGGTTCGACACTGGGCGAAGGGGGGGGGAGGGGGGGTCTGGCTCCAGACCTCTGCTTCATGTGACTCCTTGCAGCAGTGCGTCCTATGGGGGAGCCTCCACCTGCACGAACCCGGCGCTAAAAACAGCCAAGATCTAATCCAGGGGGGGGGGGAGGGGGGGGGGTGCGAGGGCCCGCGCCGATCGGCAAAACAAGGAAGAAGAGAAAGATCACTTGATGGGTGCATCCCCAGGTTGTTTCACCGATGCCCCTCCACCTCTGGATGGGCAGCGGCGGTAGACGCGGTCCACCCCGGCGAGCGAAAGCGGCTACGCGCACACGGACTACGCCCGTGCCGGACGGGGGGGAGAACCGGAAGAGAGGCAGCCGTGAGAGGAAGAAAAGGAGGAAGAAGAACTGTAATAAGACGGAGAAGAATAACCCCTCCCCTGACTCCTGGTCTCCGACAGCTTGCTATTCTATCCTCGGGCCCGAAAAAATCGCCCCCTCCCCCTGGTGTCGTTTTGCGTCCCGCGCCCACCTTTGAGGGTCCCAATCCCTGGAAGCCAAGAAACGCCAGAATTGGAAAAACACTTCGCCATAGGTCTAGGTTCTAGCCAAGACAGCTATGCGCCTGCTCAAGGACATCAACGGCAACAGTACGACCGAAGACCGACCGAACCGACAACCGAAGGGTTGCAAGCAGCCAAGAAGGGCGCAGCGACGAATCAACGAATCAAAAACGACAATCGTTTCAAAACTGGTCGCCCTCAAATGCTCGCGTATTACTCAACGTGTATATTCCGAGTTGTCGGTGCTCGCCCTCTTTGTCTTCAATCGTACCCCCTGGGGGGCATAGCTTCCTCACCTGCCACGTGTAGTTGGCGCAGCCCGAAGAACAGAAGAGGAGGAAACTGGACAACAACATAGGGCGAGGAGGAACGGAGTACGGGATGGGAGGGGGAGGGAGGGGGCAAAGGGGGGGACGGAGAAGGATGGAGCACGAGAGAGATTAGCAGGAGGGTTTGGACGCCCGAAATGGGTGCGGATAGAATGGGTACAATGCCCAACAACAAATGTTGTCCCAAACCAACAGCGGCCGCTGTTGGGCAGGCGGCCTTCTGTCTCGAATGGACACAGGCCGCGGCGGCGTGGACAGCGAGTCTTGTTCAAAATGAACAGGATCCGCTGTTGGGCATTGTACCCATTCTTTCCGTGCCAATTTCGTTCGTGCAGAGAGGGGGGGTTCGGAACAGGAGAACGAGCGGCAGGCGGGCCGGTGAGGCAGGCGGACCCTCACAGGCGGGTCGGGCGGGCGGGCACGGACGGCCAGGTCGAGCGGGGGTCGCTTGAGCGTCAGTTTAACATGAACCGCGAGGAAGTCTTCAGCGATAGCGCAACTCTCTGATAAGTCGCGAGGAGGTCCAATAGGGGGCCACATGCGAACCCTACCCCTCCCCCCCACGATTTCTGAGGGGTAGGGGTAGGGTTCGCATGTGGCCACCTATCCAAGGCGAGAGCGTGACTCCTGAGTGCCGATGGCGCGGCGTTCGAATAAATTGTCCAGAGCTCCCACGCGAGAGCGCCATCCATGGGTAAATTGCCAGGAAGTCCCCAGCGAGAGCTCGGGTCTTCAATAAACTGTGAGGACGTATCAGGCTGGAGCCGGTGTTGAATTCCCATGTCTCCAAAATAAACATGCTGATCCACCCCTCCGGTGCATCTTGTGGTGTTTCAAATGCAATGAAAAGCTCCTCCCTGGATTCGCATCCGGTCTTTTACAAAAGAGAATATTGTGCGTCAGACTGAGCCCCTGGCACCCGGTCCACAATGACAACGGCTCCCGCTTCATACTCCCTCGCATTTTATTCAAAATCGCGCTGTCGCGCGGGACTTCCTCGATGTCTCCAGGAATCGCGCTCTCGCGTGGGACTTCCTCGCAATCAGATGGGACGCCGCTCCCTCCACGCTCAGGAATCCCTTTCTCGCTCTGGACTTCCTCATGGTTTTACTCGGGAGTTGCGGTGTCTGTGAAGACTTCCTCGCGATTCATTCAAAGCTGACGCTTCAACGACCCGTCTGCTCGACCCGGACGTCTGGGCCCGCCCGTCCGAATCCGCCCGCCTGACCCGCCCGTCTGGATCTGCCGCTCGTTTTCTTGTTTCCCAACCCCCCTCCTGCGAATCTTTCTCGTGCTCCATCCTTCTCCATTCCGTTTTCCCTTCCCTCCTCCCTCCCTTCCCTCTGCTTGAAAGGCTGTGTCAACTACGCGTGACCAGAAAGGGAGATTTGTCCCCAGGGGGGAATACGATCGAAGACGAAGATGGCGGGTGTCGAGGGTTCGGGGTATACGTGTTGAATGGCGCGCGAGCTACTAAGAGCAATCAATGTTAAACTAATTGCTGTCGCTGTTGCGAGCTGGGGGCCCAATACTTCCCCTGATGGAAACAAGGTGCGAGCCCCGAGAGGGTCACCTCAACTGAAACATCACCATGCGCACCAGCGGGGGGGCATCAACTCCTCGTCTTGACACATGAAAGCTCAGTCGACCGAACCGAACCGAACCGAACCAACCCAACGCAACCGACTGCAACGCAGCCGGCCCGACCGAACCGCGGACACCCGGGCATGCCGCCCCCCCTCGCGACGGCGGGCCTGCTTGGCCGGCGGCTGCTGCGCGGGCGGCGGTGGCGCTGCCCGCAGGGCGGGCGCCGTGGAGGGGCGCTGCTTGCCCACCTGTCGCGGAGGGGGCCGCGCCCGAGCTCGGAGGGGCGCGCGGTCGACCATGGATCCCCCCGTTGCTCATCCGCCGTTGGCGGTGGTCGGCCGTCCTTCGGCAAGGGCGGGCGATCTTGCGGTTGCCTCTGGTGGTCGTCCGCGCGAAGCCTCTGGATGCTCACTATGGGGGCTTTCCTGGAGGACACTCGCCCTGCTCGTGCGTGCGTCGAAGCTGCGTCGAACATCCGTCGACTCGGGCCGAAACTGAGTCGAACCCGAGTCGAATTTGAATCGAACTTGAGTCGAACTGGAGTCGAACCGATCCTTTAGGTGTCCACAGGAGGGTCCCCCAAACGAGAATTGAACCTGCATGGTTGAATGTGCTGAAAGGTCCAAAGTTGAACACCGAGCGAAGGGAGGGCCCGTGAAGTCCACGTCGACAACCCGTGAGCAAGGCTGGGAATCACTCCCCTACGTGAACACGGAACAAGCTGCTCTCGGCGCGCAGGATACGCGACCGTCCGAATGGCAAGCTGGGAAGCGTTAGCATTATACTGGTCAGTTGTCTGGCCACGCCGCCCAAACTTCAAGGATTCCCCCCTGTCGATAGTCTTGGCCTCTGAACCGCCAGCGCACCCCGAAGGTCAGCAACACCTCAACCTGGCGAAGCGAACACACCCAGACGTCATCACACGATTGCCCCAGCGGTCTAAATGCTGTTCGAGAGGGGCGTGAGGGACGAACGATGGGGGACGAAGGGCAAGGGGGAAGCAATGAGAGAATGACGGGCGAGGAGGAGGAGGAGGAAGAGGAGGTAGGTGGGAAATCCCGCCTGCGCGGATCGTGGTGAACATGGTAGCTAATCGCTTCAGGAGGAGGAGGAGGAAGAGGGACGATAGTGGTGGTTTTCATCATGTACTCCGCAAGTACCTCCTCCTGCAGGTGGCGGGCGCTTTCTCTGCGCCGTGCTTGGCCTCGTTCTGCTGCCTCTTGTTGTTGCCTGCATTTGCCCGCAGCGCCCGCCACCTGCTTAATTGGCTTGCTACTTCGCCTATATCGGCGATTTTTTGTTGCACGTCACGAATAACGCAACGATCTCCGATCCGATCCATGTCTGCGCAGCGTCAGAAATGGACGATGGTGGATGGGAAGGGAGAACAGTCAGGGGTGACTCACCCCTGACGCAGGCCATAACCTCACCCTGGGTGCGGGTATCGATTGGCGGCGAGCCCTTGGGGGAAGCGCGAGAAGGGCAAGCCTTCTGAGAAGGCGGCGGGGATTCTCGGAAACCCTCCGGCCTTCTGAGAAGACGTCTCTGTCTTCGGAAGAAAAGCGTGAACAACATAACCGAACTCTGAAGGCCTGCCGAACTTTCGGAGAAGGCTCGCCATATCGGAATTCCCCCTGGGCTCGCTGCTGAATTGAGCAAGCGCGGGGGATGGGGGGAAACGGGGGACGGGGCACAGTAGAAGAAGAACACATGCGATAAACATAAACTGGACGGCTCGCCACCTCTGACTTCTCCCTGGGCTCGCCGCCGAATCGAGTCAGTGCAGGCGGAGGGGAGAATCGAGGGAAGGGGCGCATTCTGGAGTGGAAGTGGCGCGGGATTGTCCGAGGGGAGGGGAGGAGGAGGAATGGAATGGAATGGAATGGAATGGAATGGAATGGAATGGAATGGAATGGAATGGAACGGAATGGATTGGAATGGAACGGAATGGATTGGAATGGGCTCCTTCACGATGTGAATCTTCAACGCTCGAGCCACACTAGAGGAGGTGCTCGGTTGACCGCCTTATCCGTCGGTGGCCTCCATGCCTCGAATGTATCGAGGTACTTGCGGCGAGTATCCGAGAGGTGTCCTTCGCAGCTGGAAGACAAACCTTTCCTGAACTGCGCGGAACCGAAAGGCCTGGAAGACGAACAAATCCAGGTGCCCGAGGAGGAAGAGTACCAAGGGAGTGGTAAGCATGAGTCCATCCCCCCCCCCCCCCTTAATGAACCTTAAACCCCTTCGGCAGACGACGGACATGAGAATGAACTGGGATCAAGCTGGGGCATGGCGTTCACAACCATTCAATACGACAATCCATGGAAGCGCTCCCACAGCACCGTACACAGCGCTTGCCACAAGCACTGAGCGCATGTTCGGATGGCGAGCGTGGACGGAGCAGGAGGAAGGGAGGGCCGCCCAGGGTTACGCCTTTCAGGAGAGGGCCTGGTCGCCATGGCCTCGAGGGTACTTCTGAGCAGCCTCTTCCGAACCAAGGACGCGTCGAGCTCCACCTTGCGAGCGCGGCCTGTGATTTCGGGATCCAGCTGGTGCAGGTCAGCTCCCTCGCGCGCGAAATCATCCGCCATCTCATTGCCAAGGATCAGGAACTCAGGACCCCCACGCGAAGTCCACGCGTCGATCTCGACATGCGACGGCACTTGCAGGACAACCGCCGGAGGTAAATCCCTCCCTTGCAGACGCGCAAGACCCCCAATCAGTCTCCAAGACAGAAGGTTGGCCCCTCTGGGTCTCTGGACTTACCCGCGGCACCAGTCGCCGGCAACGCTGCTGTTACCCGCGACATGCACCAAGGGCCCCAAACGGGTACTTAAGCGCCAGCTTTACCCCCCCGGCCTCACCTCCAGGGACTGTCTTGTCTGATGGGCACCCTGGGAGGCCTCCAAAAACAGCACCATGCAACACAGGCGGGCCGCGAGAGACAACCGAGACAGCGCCGACACCACATCGTCGCAACCTCCTGTCATGAGCTGCCTTCCCTCCACTGGCATCTCCGGAAACAACAGCAGGAGCTTCGATCGTGCCGACCCCGAGAAGGTCGTCAGTCAGCTCCAGGTCGTCGCACCTGGAAAAATGCATCCAGCATTCACCTTCAGGCACGGGCGGCACCTGAGTCCAGGTGTTCGGGGTCGAACCTCTCGGCCAAACGCAAATTTCGGACTCTGAACCCGAGACGGCCCGCGGGACAAGAAAATTCGTGTCCTGGCAGATTGTGCGACCCGGTTTTCTTAGAGCATAACCAATGTCCGTGTAGGGGTATCTCTTCACTATCCCCGCACCTTGGGCATAGGTTGTCAACGGAAACGCGCGTCTCCTCACATTCGCGCGAGAGTGGCCAAGCACTACCGACCGCGATCGTAAGTAAAGTCTCGGCGAGCCTGGACACGTTGGGAACCTTCTCGAGAGCCATGATTGCAGCCCTGAGCGAAAAGTTGTCGGCCCCATCCTGGCGCCCCCCCCCCCCCCCCGCAAAAATGACGGGCCCAGAGTTTCGCCCGAACCGCCCCGTCGAAATCGGAAAGCCAACCTTTCGATGTCTTCCGAGACGGTAACCTGATCGTCACGAACAGGCTCGTCACCATCTGTAGGTGAGCCCCCCTCCGTGGGAGAGATCGGGTTCCACCCGAACTCGAGCAAGTAGCCAATGCTCATGAAAATGGGTCCTCGGATGCGCTGAGAGACCTGCTGCGGTGCAAGGCTCCGAAGCTGTCGAACAAGCCCAGGCCGCGCAGCGCGAACAGGGGCTCTAATACTCGGCACCTCCAGTCAAGTGCGAAGCCAGAGTCGTAATCCCTCGCGTGGCAAACGGCACTCAGGATCGCGCCCATCGGCTCGAAAATCTAACGCGGTAGTCAAACATCGACCCCGCTTCCCCGAAGATAAGGTTTGACCGGTACGACGTCGACACTGCGTGCGAAAATCAAAGGCCCCCGCGATTTGATGCCCATCGGTCCCTGCAGCCTGTGAACCAGCCAGTTCAACGAGCCCCATGTGAACGTGCTTCCTGGAGACCCGTGCGAAACGTCGAACGAGCTAACCTCCCCGCTCCCAAATCCACCCCAAGATATGAAGTCAGGAGAGCGCGTTGCAGCTCGAAGTCCTGCTTCTTCAACCGGTGCACGACGTGTTTTGCGCCGACCGCCGAGGGGCAGGGGGCGGCGCTCTTGCTGGCGATCTGGAGCCCGTGATCTTCGAACTTTTGACAAGAAGCTAGGACGCCATGAAAGAGACGTCGTCGGACAATCTTGCGTACGCCAGCTGTGTGTTCAGTCAAATCATCGGCCCGTATGCGATGCGACATGTACGGATGTGCCGCAGTCAACTCCTGAAGAACGAAGTACACCGCGCACCAGACATCGCCCGAACCTAGCACCACGACGAAGGCCTTGAACAATACTCTGATATGGTTGGGACCCCAAGGAGCTAGATCCCATCTAAGACAAGATTCTGGGCGCCAGACACACCACAAGTTCGAGAGCCAGCATCGCAGGCGGGAGCCCCAGTTTGAGGGCGCACTTGACAAAGGGGCCCCCATTGCACCGCATCGTAGAACCCCTCGGCGCCCAAGAGACCCCCCCGTAAGAAATGCCCAGTCTGGACAGCCCCTCGCCCCGCAGCGCGCGTGAGAAGGCCTCGCGCAGGGCGGGGGCCCCCGCGGCCGCCGCGCCCCAGTCTGGCCGAGGGTCCCGGGGCAAGGGGCGGGTGACGTCCTCGCGAGCCAGAGGCCAGAACAACCAGAAAAAATCAAACCGACAACGCGGCCCCCCCCCCCCACCCTTTTTCCACTGGGGGCGTCTCAAGACCACCAAGACTTGCCAGGGCCACGAGAGACGATCCTCACAAGCGCTGAACAAGCTAGTGAGTTCCTGGGCCCCATGGGGAGGGAGACGCTCCATGTCGATGGGGGTAGTTCATCGACCCCGCGCCCTGTTCTGGCCTTCATGGCGTGCAGGGCTGCGCGGGCGCGCTCGGGCTGAAGCGGTTCAAGCTGCTCGACAGCTGCCGCCTCTCCAATGTCAGAGAAAATGTCGATGACGTCGTCGAGAGCCAGCTGACGGGGACTCCACAGAGCGCGCCGACGCAATGCTCGATGATCAACAATGCCCCGAGGATGAAACAACATTTTGCCATCGACCCGAAGCTCATCGGGAACAGGGGGGGCACCTTTTTGATGGGGTGTTGCAGGATCCCCTTGGCCTCGGCGCTGGAGGCCCATTCCCGAGAGGCTTTCAAAGGCCCCCGCGCAGCTCCCCTTCTGGCACGCGGCGCGGCACGCATCGCAGCGACTGCCATCTTGCGGACCGCCCCGTCAGGAGCACGATCGATGTGAAACTACTTCGCCTGCCAATCGCTCCGAGCAGAGGATTCGCGCCCCCCTGCAGACGCGACGTCCGCCAACAGATCGTGCACACCTAGAGGCTGATCTTCTGCGAGAGCACGCGCGGCCTGACAAACTTGCCGCTGCTGGATGCGCCCGCCACCCCGAGAGCGATGCTTCCCAAGACGAAACAACGCAGTATATAAACGCCCCCGCCAAGAAGCCACCGCGCCATGGAATAGTTGGCCCCGAATCGTGTCCGAGGCTTTCATCTCGACCACCAGATTGAAAGGCCCCTGGGAACGAGTGGGCCCTCCACCGAGACAAACCCCGCGGGGCGTAGTGGGCGCACGTTCGACTGTCGAAACCCATGCTCCATACATGACACTAAGACGAAGAGTGTGCTGCCCTCCAACGGCGGAAGCTGTGGGCTCCCTGATCTTCGGCCACGCATCCTCCTGCTCGTGCGTGTCAGCGAACACGACCCCCTCCCTACAGACGTCCCAGACAGCGGAAGGAACAGAGAAAGCGGGAGGGTGAAAGCTGCTGTCGTCTGCCGAAAGATGGTCCGGGGCGATGCGGAGCGATGACAGGGCAGGCGCAGAATTTTCCGAAGGCGTGGCCTGGCCCCCGAGGCCCGCAACCTCGGCCGCGTTGGGCAAAGGCTCGGGGTGGCAAATGGATTGGTGATGGCCGATGGATTAAAGAACTAACGTACAACGGCTGCCTCGCCGTCGGACTCAGCATCGGAGCCAACGGTCCAAAAGGGCGCAGGCACGCGCTCCTCATCCTTCAAGAAACCGAACATCTCATGTGTGGCGTCAGCCAAATTCGTCATTGCCGTGAGCTGTTGTTCACGTCGTCGTCGTTTGGCGGTCTGAGATTTAGAGCCCTCCGCGAGAGCCTGACGAGGCCTGGGAACCTGTGGAAGACGGCATGGAAGTGCGAGTTCCCGGCGCATCAGCTGCGCTCCCGAGCCCCTGATCTGAATCATCAGCCCGCAGCGGGGGCCCCTTGGGACCGGAAGATCAGCGCCGACGTCAAGGATATATGGGGTACACGAAGGACTAGCAATCACGCGATCAATCATGGACCCTTTGCCGACTTCGCAGGTGGTCTCGATGTCGGGCGCGCTGATTACCCCATCGATATGTTGAAGAAACCCTTTGGCCGTCAGGATCTCTGGGGTTACGTTGAAGTCCCCTGCGATAGACCAAGGTAACCTGAGTT